CAAACTCTCTCGAACCTCTCCGAAACCCTAATCGTTTCCCACCTTATCTCGCCATGTTTCCACAGGAATCCATGGCGTCTCCGGCCATGGACGGTCTGTACTCATCCTTTCTCACCATCAGACCTAAGCTATTCAAGGTTTGAAGCCCGACTTCAATGGCCTTCTTTAGATCCTTCTCAGATCTATAGATCTATGGTTTCTCTGACCATTATTCCAGCATGTTCAAGCAATATGAGTGTTTTCGACTCAGGATCTGACTTTCCTCAAGACCTTTCTCATTGGTAAGGTTTTCTCTACAACTCTAAGCCATCTGAGGTTCTGTACCTGCCTATTTTCTTATATCTGTGATATTTCTGGGCTTTATTTGACATTTTAAAGGTTTTCCCCAAATTTCCTTTTTAAAATCATTCAATTTCGATTTTAGGGTTTTTGAAAAAGTTTCTTCAAATATATTTCTGATTCTTTCCGTTCTTTCTTTATGTGTGTTTATCTATGTTAGGCTCGTATGTTTTCTTTTCTCCTACGCATGAGTTTGCTCTCTTGTTTCTTTTCTATTATGCGAGACTCTTCTATTTTTGTTGTCACTCTTATGCTCTCATGTTAATCCGTGTTGTTAATCCTTATTCATTGCTATATGTGTTTATGGTTGAGTTCATTGATTTTGTTCACTTTACTGAGTTATGTTTGTGTTCCTGCTAAGCGTATTTCATCTACTTTTGTTTAAAGCTCANGTTTAAAGCTCGTATCATCTCTTTCTTCTGAACTTGTTTAAATTCCAAGTTTTCTCGAGCATGTTCTCATGACTTTGAATCATTGTTCTTTCTATCGTGTGTGTTTGTCTCTCATAAGTCTTTGGAAAAGACTTCTGAGCCTCTCTCAAGTGGCTTGTCTTCTCATCTCCATAGTCTGACTCAATTTGAAACCCTAGGATTTGGGGGTTTCTTTGGCAAGTGGTATTAGGGTTCCACTTTGGAACCCTAGGCTTTCAGAATCACTATGAGTCTGTAACTGAACTCGAATCCCTTTTGCTTGTGGCTCTAAGACTTTCAATGTTAGATTCTTTTTCTAAGAAACCTGACGATTCCTTTTGCTTGATCTGTGTGTTTATATATGAGAAATTCCTCTTTCAAAAGTTTTCACCAATTAAGTGATTGATTCTGAAGTCCCTTTAATAAGACTGATGAATTGTCACTAATTTTTCTTTGATTGAACCTCTTTTACCTTTCTTGACTTGGTTCATTCAAATTGAACTTGTAATTTTGGTTTCATGGTTGTTTGATTGATTCCCTTGCCATATTTGGCAGAAACCGTATGCCGTTGATTGTTTTCCTTAAATAACTTCTATGTACTTACCCCTTTTGTGCTACTTTGAAAAGGTTTTAATTAAAACTTCTTTCCTTAACTAATTTTTACCCGTTGAAATCAAAATCCCTTAACCAAAGGGAGGTTGATTTCAATGATATTTCCTTGCCTTTTTTACTTGCTTTCTGCACTATAAAAAGGACTGCCCTTCTGCACTTTTAAGACACCTTACACCTTCAGCTCACACGACCTACACACTACCAGTCCTTAACTCCAATTGAATACTTGCACACTACAATATTACTTTGAATTCAATACTCTTTCAATACTCTGCTTTTGCTTGAGATCTTTTGAAATTGCTTGGCCTGCAACTTGGCTTTTCCTAAGACTACTGTTTTTACTTGTTTTCCCCTGAAACTGGTATGTTCTGATTTAACGTTTCTGCCTCACCCCTATGTGCTTATTTACAGTTTTCTGCAATCCTGTTTACTTTACTGCTCATGTTCAATGATTTATGCTAAGTATGTTCTTTCCCTGCACCTGTTTCTATTATGAATCCCTACCCCTTATTCCCTTCTATGTGTTTGAGTTAAGGCTCATGTCCTGGCAGTATTCAAATTGTTGCTCAGGTCATAACCTGATCCACAATGGATCCTAACTCTTAAGATTTGGCTAACAGGCTGGTCAGGGTTGTGCCAGCATTCCCAATTGCTGAGCATGATCACCAGCCCGCCATGGCGTTCCCTAATTCCCCTATACACTTACACTTATTCTTAAACTCTTAAGTTCTGTCCCCCCTCTTATGAGCCTTGCTTTAGGACCTTGAGTTCCCTCTAAACTTGGACATCTGAGGGTTGACCCTTCCACACTGCACTATGATCTCAATTCTGCAATGTGTTTGGGGTGTAAGCACTGCCCGGGGCCCTTTGAGACTCTTGGGAACTTTGACACATCCCAAGCATGAGAAAGACTTTTGGAAATCTAATCCTGGAAGTTGGTTTATCTCATATTGTTGGACTTTTAGTCTGAATTAGGCTGTTTGGTTGTAGCTGGAATTTCTGATGTATTTTTATTTTTTTTTCTGATTCATTCGGGTCTGTAATAATTTGTAATAACTATTAGGGTTGGCTAGTGAAAAGGGATGGGGATGAATGTATGAAAAGGGTAGAAAACTTGCCTATAGGATTTTTTTTGATTTTTGCATTCTCATCTTAGAACTCATACTTATAAGATTTTCTGATTTCTGCATTCTCATCTTAGAAACCATGCCTATACGTTTTTTCTGCATATAGAAATCCTGTCTCTAAGATCTGCACTTCTACATATAGAAAATTATGATCATAGTTTTTCTGCACTTCTGCATGTCATTAGGCAAACAATCACAGGTTTAATAATAATCAACTTCATTCTAGATATCATGCTTATAGGACTCTTGCATCTACGTAATCATTTAAAACCAATAACGCTTAGATAACTTGCCTATAGGAGTAATCAATTGAATCAGCTTCGTCTATTTCGTCTATGAGTCTAAAATCAGTCATAAGGTTGTTTAAAATCTGCAGATCTTTTGTTTATAAAATCAGTAATCCTCTCTTCAAAATCAGTACGCTCTGTTAGATATCATGCCTATAGGTCTCACTTAGACAAACCATTAGGTCATTAATTAACTATGTCAGTTTTGATAACTACAACCAGACAAGGCTAATTCGGACTCCTCATCTGAGAAATATGTGATAAATCAGCCTGTCCTAACGCTTTTAAATTTAATTCAGACTATAACCAGTATTTGAAGTCGTGCTAAATAATTTGCTCCTTTAAGTGAGGAGGCCTGTTTGAGCCCTTAAACTGCTATTTGTTTCCCCCTACTTGCTTATGTGTTTTATTTGTCGCATTAGAATTTTGTCCTTTTAAAACTCTGGAAAAAAAAAACCATTCTCCCTCCCTTTAGGACTAGTAGTCCCAAATGCCTCCGAGACTGATAGGATCGGGACGGATAATAGCATGCAGTAAGTAACGACACTATTCTGCGTTTAATACCTTAACGGGGTGAGAAAGGGTAGATATGGACATGATGACCGGTGCGCTAATACCACGTGCGACCCCTCTTCTGAGGAGTGATTGCCGGGTATTGCATTGATGTGATCCATATTGTTTGTAAACCTAGGACCCCTTCCCCTTTACTTGTTATCCCTTTTTTTTAACTGTCCAAACTATTTGCTTAAGAATTCTATTTTCTTTATCTTTCTTCAAACTTTCAATTCACTTGCAACATTATGTGTAAATCCCCTTCTATTTGAGACTTTTATTTGCTTACTTGTTAGTTAAAGTCACAATTGTAACATGGCCGGGAACCACACTAGTGGATCTTGGGGGGTGCCTAACACCTTCCCCTTGAGATAATTTCTAGCCCTTACCCGAACTCTGGTTTTCCAACTCGAACTCTTCTTTAGTGTCCTAATGCACTTTAATCATTAGGTGGTGACTCTTCAACCCAAAAAAACCCAATTCCCAAGAGGGAACGAGTTGTCCTCCCAAATGTCATGAACCCGATTTCACCTTTAGAAAAAGGGGGCGCAACAACTAGTCAAGCCCTAATCCCCAAATTACCACTGATTTCCTTAAATTTTCATGTTTATAATGGTAGAAATCACCCCAATAACGAGTTTAGGACCAAAGACCTTACCCTAATGAATTCCTCTGAAAATCTCCCTCGAAAATGATGCCCAAGGCTTCTTCCCGTTTGAAAAGAGGTGAAAATAGCTTAAATTCGCGAAGGCAAGAATTTATATGTTTCTGCCCAGCTGATCCGCTTCTGCGGTCCCGCTTTTGCGGACCTACAGTCGCATCTGCGAAAATCACTAACTCAGCCTTCTCCGCACCTGCGACTCCCTATTCGCAGATGCAGTACCGCTTCTGTGGTAAATCTCCTGCATCTGCAGATCCTGCTGTTCCTCCCAATTTCCGCTTCTGTGATGACAATACCGCTTCTGCAGCTACGCACCTGCGGGACCCAACCGCAGGTGCGGTTATGACAGAAGGCCAGCAGCTGAAGCTGCTCAAACAACTTTCAAATCTTCTGAAAACCTTCTGAAACCATCCCGAGGCTCTCGGGACCTCAACCAAAAGCACAAACAAGTCTAATACCACTATCCAAACTTATACCAATCCTTAAAACACCTAAAACAACATCGAAACGACGAATCAACCACAGATTCAAGCCTAAGAACTCCAAACTCTAAAAATATGCTTTCGATCAAAAAGTCTATCAAACCTCATCCGAATGACCTGAAATTTCTCACACACATCACATTCAACACTACAGAGCTACTCCAACTTCCAGAATTCCATTCCGACCCTCGGATCAAAATCTCACTATCGAACCGGAAACTTCAAAATTCGACTTTCGGCATTTCAAGCCTAAATTAGCTACGGACCTCCAAAACACAATCCGAACACGCCCCTAAGCCCGAAATTACCCAACAGAGCTAACGGAACCATCAGAAATTTCATTCTGAGGCTGTCTTCACACTGTTCCGACTGCGGTCAAATTTCCAATACTTAAGCTCTCATTTAGGGATTAAGTGTCCCAAAACTCTTCGAAACTCAAAACCGAACATCCCGGCAAATCAAAACAGCAGAAATAAACACGGGAAAAGCAGTTAATAGGGGATCAGAGCGTTAATTCTTAAGACGACCGGCCGGGTCGTCACATCAATGGTATATCCAAGGACAAATATTATATATTCAGCACAAGGTGCGTGACACCTACAATACCACTTATGGTTTATCGTTGTGTAAGATTGTACATTAAAAGGTGTATCCAGGCACAATAAATAAAAGTTGTTTCTCTTACTTCGAATTCTGATTCCCCATCTCTAAAAAAAGGAAAATATGCGTAGATACGGAAACACTTATATCTATTGAACCTTATGACTTGGACTCAGCAAAACATTTATATCCTAATGAATCTTATGACTTGGACTCAACATGAACTCTTTCAGATAATATTCTCGTACAAATTTTTTAATTAGAAAGTGCAGTGACTATTATTTTGACTCCAAAATTTGATGTGTCTAATGTGTGCAACATATTAATATGCCAGTCATTCCCATCAAAAGACAAAAATGCAGCAAAGTTTTAAGAATATTACACAAGAATATGGATCAGAAAATTCATTTTGTGCAATTATGTTGCTAATGTTCCTGGCATATTGTACTTAGGACAAAAATCCATGGTTACAAAAGTGAACATTCAGTAAGACTATTCTACTAATCCAGCTTATAGATAATTAAAATTTTAATAGATGTAACATTTTAAGTGAAAGAAAGTCTATATCAATGCACATAAGTCTCCAACTTCTCCCGCAAAAATATAATCGTTATCGCTCCTAGTAAAATGTTCTATACGAACTTTGCTTTGTGGTAATTACTCTCTTGTTGATCCTGTCGGGTAAATGACATTATTCATAAGTATATTTTTGATATATTTACTTCATAATAGGGTAAACTAATTAGGTACTATATTTTATCCGCTAGTAGTTGTTGTAAGTATGTTGGCTTTGCACCTATTCGTTCATACATTAAATACCAACAGTTAATATACTATTCTGATGGTAATAAATACATATTTGTATTTATAATTGTATGCTATCAAGAATTATACATTGTCAAAGCATATAACTTACACTCATACAAATTATACTTTTGACAAAGAAGGTAACGTATTTTTAACAGGCAATCCTTATTCTTTAGATTAATTATTTACTTTTTATTACCTATTACATGTAAATTGTCTTCTAATTGTGACTGGCAGAGTGACAGTCAATATAGAATTAGAAACTTTGACGAAGTACTTTTGGGTCTTACTTGCTATAGTAGACACACAAAATGCCAATTTGAATTATAGCCATTATATTAACCATGGGCTAGCTTTTAATTTGTGTTTACAGGGGAAGTGCGTGCATCTATCTGAGCGAATTAATTTTTTACCGCAAATTGAGTTCTCAAGTGACCTATCAAGGTCGCTATTTTTCGTCTCCAAAGGCAGCAATGACTACACCAACAACTATCTTAAGCCTACATTTTATGACTAGCAAACGTTACTCTCCTGGATCTTTTGCTAAACTTCTCACTGATACACTTCTTCAACAGTTTCAGGCAAGCCCTTCTATATTTGGAAATTGCCACCAAATCTAAGTACAGAATCCATCCTCTATTCTCTAAAGATTATGGAACTACATCGAATTTTGAAATTAGAATTTGGATATTTAAACTATACTGACCTGTTGTTTTAGATGAAATTGGCTAACACAGTCAACCAAAAGATTCTAACCATAATCAACAGAGATACATGCATTCCATAATCAGAAACCCAAATAAGCCTGTTGCATAGTCCTGACTAAATATAGAGGAAAACAAACACTTGAGACGGAAAGAAAGGAAAGAGAGAAAGTTTACCTTTATTTCCGGTGAAGAGCTTTAAATAGTCTCTCCTTCCTGACTTGCACTCTTCTCCCTCATGCCTTACTATCTAACCCCAAGTTTCATATGAGATTAAAGAGTATCAAGAACAAAATGAATTGGAGTATATCTTTGAGAAATTGAAGAGACGGGAAACAAACAAAGGAATAATATACGGTTGATTAAGAAATGAAGATGTGTTGTCTGCAAAAACAAAAGCCACCGCAGGGAACAATATCAACTAAGTAATTAAAATGACTAAATTACTCTCAGGTTTGAATTAAATTCCACGAAGCACACACGTCGGAACCTAGCTCTTCAACAGAGATACATGCATTCCACAATCAGAAACCCAAATAAGCATGCTGCATAGTCCTGACTAAATATAGAGGAAAGCAAACACTTGACACGGAAAGAAAGGAAAGAGAGAAAGTTTACCTTTGTTTCCGATGAAGAGCTTTAAATAGTCTCTCCTTCCTGACTTGCACTCTTCTCCCTTATGCCTTACTATCTAACCCCCAAGTTTCATATCAGATTTAAAGAGCATCAAGAACAAAATGAATTGGAGTATATCTTTGAGAAACTGAAGAGACGGGAAACAAACAAAGGAATAATATACGACTGAGTAAGAAATGAAGATGTATTGGCTGCAAAAACAAAAGCCACCGCAGGGAACAATATCAACTAAGTAATTGAAACGATTAAATTACCCTTAGGTTTGAATTAAATTCCACAAAGCACACACGTCGAAACCTAGCTCTTCAATAGAAATACATACATTCCACAATGAGAAACCCAAATAAGCATGCTGCATAGTCCTGACTAAATATAGAGGAAAGCAAACACTTGAGACGGAAAGAAAGGAAAGATAGAAAGTTTACCTTTGTTTTCAGTGAAGAGCTTTAAATAGTCTCTCCTTCCTGACTTGCACTCTTCTTCCTCATGCCTTACTATCTAACCCCAAGTTTCATATTAAATTTAAAGAGCATCAAGAACAAAATGAATTGGAGTATATCTTTGAGAAACTGAAGAGACGGAAAACAAACAAAGGAATAATAGACTGAGTAAGAAATGAAGATGTATTGGCTGCAAAAACAAAAGCCACCGCGGGGAACAATATTAACTAAGTAATTGAAATGACTAGATTACCCTCAGATTTGAATTAAATTCCACGCGAAGCACACCCTTCGGAACCTAGCTCTTCTAATACATAGAAAAAGAAAAGAAATACCCTTAGACCTTTGGGAATTGATGGCACGTGCCTCTGTTACGTAGCATGACGGCAAACATCATCTCTTTTTCCAAACGGACACGCATTTTCTTCTATTTTCTTCAGTTTCGCAGCTGAACTGAAAATTACTGAGCTTCAAAATGAACTCAACATCTATGTCTATACAAGCATCGCTTCCCCATGATATTGCCCTCAAAATTGCTTCTTCCCTTCAGGTTACCTTTTTTCTCCTTGAAAGATTGACTTTATCCACTTTCTAATTGTGGGTTGTCAGAGAATGTTTTTTCTTGATTCTAGGTTCTTTTCTCTCTCTCTTTAGAATCGCTTTTTTTTAAATTGAGATTATGCTTGAAAGGAGTTGAATTTATTGGTTTTTTGATTTCTGTGTTGTTAAAAAAAGTTATGCCCTTTTGCGTTGAAAGGAATTGAATTTAATGGCTACAATTTGTTTTCTTGATTCTGGCTCCTCCCCCCCCCCCCGCCACTTCCTTTTTTTTTTTGTCTTTCTAATTTGCTATTTTTTCTTGAAAGGGATTGGATTATTGGCTTTCTGGTTTCTGTATTGTGGAAATTTTTGGTCTTGATTATGGGTATTTTTTTTCTTTTTTGAACTGTAATTTTGAAGGTAGCTGATCTTTGCTCGCTGGGGAGTTGCTCTCAGTTTTGGTGGGAGTTATGTGGTTCTGATTATATATGGGAGTCTCTTTGTAGAGAAAGATGGCCTGCTCTTTCTCTGGAGATTGAGGAGTCTTCATCTTTTGACAATCAGACTCATGAGGTTAATACTGAAGTCAACTCTCTTTCTCTGCTTTAAGTAGATTGGAATATAAATGCATATGCATAGTATTATTTATTGGCTTGCAATGAGTTCTTGAAGTTCTGTAAAATGCTGATAGAATCCTTTGTGCTGTGAAGCTCTATGTTTTTCCTGTGTATATAATGTTGGAATTAGCATGGACTGGAAACCCTTTTCCCAAACAAAAAAAAAAGAAGTTACGTTCTTTTTTAGGTTGATAGGGAAAAGGTCCAAATTTGCCCGCTGTACTATCTGAAATTGCTCAGTTTTGCCGTCCGTTGCACTTTTTTGTCCCTTCATACCTTTGTCGTTAGCAAATCGTGTCCTATTTGCCCTTGCCATTAGTGAATCTCTAGCGCGAAATGGGTGGAATCCATGTGTCCTGATTTTTCGAGAAAAAAGTCTTAAGTTTACCCCTCAACTTCTGACTATATTTTAAAGTTATCCTCGGATTGGAGCTCCTTTAGGGGTAAAGGGCAAACATGAGACATTTTTCTTATGGCGTGGTAATAGTAGACTAGAAGTCTCATGGAAGACAAAGTTGCTTAATTTTAGATAGTACAAGGTGGAAATTGACCCTTTTTATAACTTAATGCTAAAATGGAACTTTTTACTTTTCTACTTAAAACTGCAGGAATGGAGAGTGTTTTATATAAGGAAGCACAACGAAGTAGCAGGAAAAGCAGCAGGTGTGATTGAGTTTGTCAACCGCTGTTTGGCATTTGAGTCAATTGAGGTTGGGCATTATCTGAAAGCAGTTAGAGAACTGGATGTAATGCAGTTTGGGTTTGAAGATGCCCGAACATTCTTCCTCAAATCCAAGCACAATGTGCTGCTAAACTTGATTGGTCTGCACTACTGCATTATTTGGCTTGGTTTGCCGGTAACTAAATGCCTACTTTTGTTACAAACCTGTTAACTGCACCAATTTCTCCATTTATGCAGTCAGTGAATAGGTGTTATACCACTTGAATGTTTTTGCTGAAAAATAAATGACAGATTTGATTTGTGTTTGGCTGCTTGATCTGTTATAGGAGCTAGATCTTTTAGTTGACTCTGATACTAGCACGGTCGTCTTCATAGGGGTTAGAAAAATTTTATTTTCCTTCGCAGGGCGGTGGAAATATTTATCTATGCACTATAAATAGATTATGGATTCGTTTTGTCTAGTTAATGTATCAAAAAGTTAGTTTCAAATAATGATATTGGAGTAAATAAGACAATTGGTTATATGATAATTGATTTATTCCTTTTAGATATAAGAGAAATTGAATGGAATGTTTGACTCTTGTAAGATTTTTTTGTACAAATATTGATTTTTTTCCTTTGATAGGCGTTTTGCATCCTGAAGTGGATGTATGTGCTGAGCCTAATTATACTAGCGTCTCTCTTCCTGTCTCTCTCTCTCTCTCTCTTGCTGTCCGTCTGTTGGTCCGTCTGTCTGGTTTTAGTAGGACTCACTGTTTTGGTAGGCTACAGAGGATCATAAAACTCCTTAATTTCTTTCGTTATTCTTAAAACGCCTACTTAGTACAACAACAACAGCAACAAACCCAGAAAATTCCCAAAAAAGTGGGGTCTCTGGGTGTAAGTTAGACCGTGTATAAATGAAGTGGTCAGAGACAATGTTTAGGTCTGTTGTAAGAGGCAGATTAGGTTGTAGGTACTCTTTACTAAATGAACAACTGCTTGCAGCTGGAACTTTTCCTTATGAAATTATGTGATCTCTGTCCATCTTCTGTGTATGGTGCAATTGGCATGTACATCATGTGTTTATCTCTAAAAACAGTGGTTAAAACTTGAACAGCTTGGCTAGAGTAGCATCTCGCTCGCACCAAGACTTTATCTAGTATAAGCCTTATGGTCTATGTTCCTAAGGACGCTTCATTTCCAAGACTTGCAAGAGTTAGTCTAAGTTTAAGCGGGCCCTCTTCGGCATCTGTTGTAGCTGGAATTCTAGTTCCTTGGACTGTGAATAGTTTTATTGCATGTGACGATACGTTAGTTACCTAGCTTCAACCTGGAATCAGCTTCTTGAAGTTATTTGATGTTTCATTTTCTCTACTAGGGTGAATGTGTCATGGAAGTCCTAAGCAACTGCAATATTTCACAAAGGCAAGTACGTGTACAATGGTGGAAGCTCGGGAGGTGGTTTTATGGCTTTCGTTTGCGCGATGAATTACACACACGTAATGTCTCTTTAGAAGATCTTGCAACAGGGAAGGAGGAAGAAGTTCTCGGGGTACTTCATCGAGGTGCAGTACATGAGGTGATACGTGTTCAGATCTCAGCTGCCAAACCTGCATATACATCCTGGTCATTCCAAAGTGCACAAGACCCAAACTAGTAAAAGGTTATTGTATATCATGTGTACATGAATTGTAAATAGTTCACTTAAACTCCTACATAAAGAAAAATAATAATAATTGTAAACACTCATGAAGTTTACTTACAATGTATCCTTTTATATTTATGTTCTTGTAAATACCAAAATCTCACAGGGGAGGAAGCCTGTTTTAATTGTAAATTTGATGCTTGTTGCGTGTGGAAAGCTGTAATACTACATTGTTTGTATTCTTTTACTCGAGAAGTAATTAGTTGTGTTTGTCTCTGTAGCTGGTTTTACCAGCTTGATTTGATTCTTTTCATATTTCATATTTGAACTCGATGAATAAGCGAGCAGTTTCAGGAACGCAGTGCCAAATCACGCGTTTTTAGTGAGTGATGATGTTATCCCACATGAGCTGTTTAAAGGCTTCCTACCTTAATAGTAAATGCTCGACTACATGATAGTTTTCTTCCCTAATTCTCGACCTCCACACTCTCCTATCAAGGGATATGTCCTCAGTAAGCTCTAATTACATCATGTCCTGCTTAATCACCTCTCCTCAATATATTTTAGGCCTATCTCTACCCCTCCTCATACCCCTTATGGCCTACCTCTCACACATCCTAACTGGGGAATCAATGTTTGTCCTCTTCACATGTTCGAACCATCTCAGCCTTCCCTCTCGTATCTTGTCTTCCACGGAGACCACTCCTACCTTTTCCCGAATAACTTCATTTCTAATCTTATCAAATCTGGTATGCTCCCACATCCATATCAATATCCTCATCTCAGCTACTTTTATCTTCTGGATATGAGAGTTCTTGAATGGCCAACATTTTGCCTCATATAACATAGTTGGTCGAACCACCATTTTATAGAACTTACATAAACTTAAAGTGGCAGTTCTTATCACAAAAGACACCGGAAGCGAGCATTCATTTTATCCACCCTGCTCCTATACGATGTATGACATCATCATCCATCTCCCCATTTCCTTGTATTACTGACCCAAGGTACCCGAAACTTCTTCTCTTAGGAATGACTTATGTATCGAGCCTCACCTCCATGTCCTCTTCCTGGGTTACGTCCCTTAACTTGCACTCCTAATATTTTGTCTTGGTCCTGTTCAACTTGAAACCTTTAGACTCTAAGGTCCGCCTCCAAACCTCCAGCCTCTCGTTAACACCACCCGCCATCTCGAAAATCAGAACTATGTCATCAACAAATAACATACACCATGGTACCTCTCCTTGAATGTGTAGAGTCTGTGCGTCCATCACCAAGGAAAATAAAAACGGGCTAAGAGCTGATCCCTGGTGCAATCCCACTACCACCAAAAAGTGCTCTGAGTCTCGATGTCCTCACCCGGTCTTAGCACCATAATACATGTCCTTAATCACCCTAATATAGGCTACCGAGACCCCTTTAGCTTCCAAGCATCTCCATAGCACCTCTCTCGGGACTTTGTCGTATGTTTTTTCTCGGTCAATGAATACCATATGTAAATCCTTCTTTATTCTCCTATACTGCTCCACCAATCTCCTTTCAAGATGAATGGCTTCTGTAGTCTACCGACCCGACAGGAAACCGAAATGGTTCTTAGAAATAGACACACTTCTCCGCACCCTCATTTCTACCACACACTCTCACACTTTCATCATATGGCTTAGAAATTTGATACCCCTATAGTTATTGTAATTTTGGATATCACCCTTGTTCTTGTACAACAGAATCATCGTACTCCACCTCCATTCTTTGAGGATCTTCTTCGTCCGAAAAATGACGTTAAATAACCTAGTGA